GTAGTTTCAATAAAATTAACATATCAAATTTTATATTTTTCCTCTTGTTTGTCCCCCCACCTAGTTTGGTTGTGTTTCCCTCTCATCATCTCATGAGAATCTCACTAAAGAAAAAGAAATTAAGACAACAAGAAAAAGAAAACAACGAAAGAAAGGTAGGTGATATAATTACTAAAAGACTCACATTTTAGGTGGAACTTATGTACAATGCGCAAACCGTCATGGGATAAATGCTTATTTCAATTGGATGTCCATGAACACACATTCAACATGTGAAAGGATTTCCGTTTCCTACACTTGATGAGCGCTTTTTTTTTCCCCATGATTTTTTGGATTTTTATTAATTACTTCCTCTTCTTTCTTTTCTTTTTTTTTTCACAATTTTCCTTTTCATACAGTAATATAATTAAAAAATGGTTTTATATGAATTTGAAGTCAGTGAAATTACTTATGTGTGTACCTATATTACATTTATTTTAATTTCAAGATTTGTAGTGACTTAATTATAGTGGTACCTTTTAGAACCAGATGCAATCTTTTAGATCTTAGATTCATATTATCTAATTAAATCATGATAAGTGCGAAAGTGAGAGGGTTGAAAATAATTATTAAATGTTTGTTTTTATTGGGAGTGCATATGCACTGCTGTTACATTAAATGTATCAATGGTTACAAAATGATGATATCATCAATGTGTGTAATGCTTCACTAGTTTTCAAGGATTAAACTTAGGCAATCTTGAATAATAAACTAGATCTTGCATTGGTCAAATTAGCCATCGTGAGGATGAGGAGGTTCAGGAACTCAAGCTGCAAATAAGAACTCAAAACTCACGAGGGCAAGAACTACTTCAATCTTGTGAGCATAAGAAGTTTAGTACCTGGGTTAACACTGATACACTAAAATGCATGTTGGTCATTATTAGACCTATCGTGTTCTGAGTGCTCAAAACCAAGTTCTCTCTTGGAAAAAAAAACTTGCGTGGGCACTAACCAAGACCTTGCAAGTTTGAGTACCTCAGAACAAGTTTGCTCTTCTTTAGAGCTTTAATCCTCACGTGTTATAGACATAAACTTGAGTGGATGAGCATCATAGAACTAAAGGTTTTCTAGAACTCTTAAACTCTCGAGGGAACACATGGAAATTTACAGTATGAAATGCAACATTCAAAGAGCTATCTAAGGCATCTAGCTAAAACTCGTGTGGGCAAGAGAGTCCCTTGAGAGAAAGAGGTTAAGATCATTAAATGCGCAAAGATGTTGTCTAAGTTCTAAATCCATGAGTGTGCATGTGGGCCTAAGACTTGTCTCCAATTTTTTTTTTTTTTTTGCCGTGACATGCAAAAGCAAGCTCTCATATCTCAAGGTTTTTAACAAATGATCTCAGAGAAAACATAAACAATAAAACCTATAAACTAAGCTTCTCTTGATCTTTACCCTTTGCTTTCTTTGATTGATTTTGTCATAGTTAATTTTATAATATGCACAAAAAGAAAAACTTACTCTAGTTTTGTTATCATCAAAACAAAGTATTTAACAATTTTAAATTTAACAATTTTAAATTCGTTGTTATGAAAATGTTATTTTGATATATTGTAGAATTTCTTAGATGTCCAATTTCTCAGAGAGACTCTACCTGATTTTTGCAAAATTAAATATATAATCAATGCCTTTGGTTTACATATTATATGTTAGTTGAATTAAATATATTTGGACATTGATTTTCAATAAAGTTGATGAAAGATGTCATCGCGCATCAAGAATTAATTATTCTTTAAAATGTAAGTGTTTTAAGAATTATAATTAATTCTTTCATTCAATATAAAAAGTGTAATTAATTATATGTTACTTTCTCTTTGTAGTATTATGTGGATGTAAGATGTAAGAGTATACTTTACAAGTTTACTTCCTCAATTGTGTTGGGAGTGCACGTCATGCTATACTTTTTTTCCTCTTTAATTGTGATTTTGTCCATTGAATTTTTCTAATGCGGTTTAAATCATACAGATTTAACAATTAAGTTGTTACTAATATTAAAATATTACTTCTTCTATTAAAAAATTTCAAGCATTTTTTCTAAGGTTGAATGATAAAAAAATAAAAGGCATTAATTTTTAGTTTCTCAATGTATAATTAATTTTTCTTTCAAAGATATCTTTAATGAATAAACCCTTCAACCTTCACCTTTAAGTAAGATGCCTAATTAAGTAAGGGCAGATATGAAAATATAATATTAATTTAAAGCTAATTAACTAATTTATTTGGAGCGTAATTTGTTTAAAATGCCATATATTTTTTTACCATAACGAGTACATACTATTTCCTTCCACCTAGGTTTTTCTTTCAATACCTTTTTTCAGTAAAGTTTTAACGATGAACATTATTCAGTCAAACACATCCAAAAAAAATATTATAAATATTATTATATATTTTTAAATTTAGATTTAGTGAGTGGTACAAATTCACATACTCAATAAGTGTCTCATGTGGCATGAAAGCAACTATTTGATTTTATAGAACGATTGAAACTGATTTTGTTATATGACATTAAAAAAACACTAAATCATAAATTTTTGGAGGGATAATATATTTGAGGAGTGTTCTGATTGTACGAGATTTTGTTACTCATTGAATGAGAGGATTTATGCCACTTATTAAATCTAAATCTATGTTTTCATGCATATGCATAACCTCCCAACTATTTGAATTAAAGACACTAATCGTGACTTTCTAAATCTACACATTGAAATGAGTTGGCCGTTGACTTTAATTTCGCCTTACATTCATGAATCCAAAAATTGAAGTCCTACGTCAAGAATAACTTTCATCCAAGATACATGAATTTTTGAAATGTATATTCATTCTTTAATACAGATACATTGTATCCCTTATTTTAGTCATTGATGATTGAAGGCGTGTACATAGAGGTTTGACTCACAATGTACAATCATTTAAAACAATGTACATACATTTATGTTGGAATATTGATAAATTGATAAATATCATAATACCAAATTAATTTAATTGTTAAGAGCCCTCCCTCATGAGATCTATGGATAGGAGGTTTGTGTAGAGTCTCCTCAAAGTACCACTAAAAATAATCAGTTTTTCTCCTGCAAATTAGGACTTGACTTCACCAGCCCATGAGAGTGGTCTCTAGGATTCATACCTATTACTCCTCCTAATTAGATCTAGCTTTATCCAAACTTTTTTGTTTACTCCTATCATTCGCCACAACTATTGCTGAGTAGTTGTTGTTCAACATATATCATTGGTCTACAACGGTTCTATGTACACCATAAATTAATAGGTAAGAACAACCGTAGTCTTGAAATTAATTTTATCACTTGACTGATATTTTTTATGAAATTAATGTTTAAATCTCCTTTTATTTTTCAATTTGTTTCTGTGACCAACTTCAAACTAATTTTGGGGATTGTATGTTTTAATTCCTCTCATTTCTTTTACTCACTCACTTCTATTTTTTTTGTGATGCGACCTCCATATTTCAATTAACTCAACTCTGCTTTGAGTCATTAAATGCACACACTTATTTTTTAAAGGTTGTCACATGGAGTGCGTGACATTGTGGCTAAATGAAAAAAAAAACCAAGTGTGTAACATCTTTTTTTTTTGCATTTTTCATGCATACCTTTTGTTCAACCTTGAATTTAAAATTTTTAATTAATACACTGTTTAGAATTTTACATGATATAAAATTTGCACGATCAGCTATTGATGAATTTACATCATAATTTATCTTTGAATCAAGACAATGTTGTGTATGTATGTGTGACTTAGGTGTTTTATAAAATTATTATTCTAATGATTATTTATATTTAATATAATTAAGGTTTCTTTTTCAAGGCTACATTAACAATAGGAACATGTTTGAGGGTCTTCCCAATGGTGTTTTAGAAGAATTATCAAACTCATTTGAATAAGAGAGAGAGTGCGATTATAATATTCAACCTCTAATGGAGGCCTTGGGAAACAAGCCCAAAAGGGAAGAAGGAGAAGTTTTGTTGAAAAAGTCAACCAAACATTCTAATGAAGTGAACATGGAAGTGAATTCGTATGATCATTAGATTCTCTTTATCATAAAGAAGCAGCTAATTCAAGTTTGCTTTTCCACCAACTTGCTATGAACTTACCAATTAGTTGTCTTATTCCAAGTATGAGATATGATAATGCAACAATTGCCTCATTGAATCGAAGTTTTCGATCTCTTATTAAGTGTCGACAACTATATCATCTAAAGTGGAAGGCAAGTAATGTTGAGTATTCAGTTTACTATAAAGCTTCTTGTATTTTGAAGGGATGTAATAGGGTCACCTTTCTACTAATAGTGATATAGTATTTTAACAAACGCTTGATCCTTAGGCATGTCAATGAATACTCTCCCACATGCTTGCACTATACAGACATATGTGCTAACATATGGTGAACTAGTTTTACATTATTGGTGAGTTTAATGAAGACAATAGGAGGCAAATATGTGAAGAGTAGCTCAACTTGATTACTAGAACATGGAATGTAATATCCAATATTTTACCTAGGGAGAAATTGATGTAGTTTTAAATGGAATAAACCTCCCCTACATCGGAGTCACCTCTTTAGTTGCTATTGTATATAATTTGTATGCTTCGCATTACATATGATGATTGCGATAAAAACAACTATGCAGTTTTCAGTGATTTATAAGATTAGTAACCATCTTTTCGTTTGATGTAAATAAAAATCAATTAGTTGTAACCTTTTCCTTCTTTTGGAAGGTCTTGATACGTGAATTTACTTGTACTTGGACATGAATATCACTTATTCTTCGATGTCATTGAAGTGTATGGTTAAAAATGATTTTTCCCTATCTAGTCATATTTTGCAAAAAAAAAAAAAAAAGAAAGAAAAAACTAACATAAAAGAAAACAAAGTCTATATACTTTCAAAAAATTATACTTGACTTTTGTTGCAGTGTGTACACAAAACTGTTACACATTTAAGTGAATTTAAATAGAATTTTTCATTTAAAGTTTAATAAAGTATGGATCTCAAGCATATTCCATATTACATTTAAAAAATAAATGTGGTGGAATTTTTTGCCCTAAAGTTCTCTTTTCTTGTTTGCTCAAATCTACTCCTCCGTGATCCCTGCTCAAATATGCTTCTCTAAAGCTTCCTTGTGCTTGTTCTGATATTCTCCTCCAAAGTCTCTTTATGCTTGCTTAGATCTACTCCTTTCGAGCTTAAACATTGTTAGAGTTGTTGTAATGCTCCTCCAAAGCTCAGATTTGCATGAGTTCTCTTCTTCTTTGACTTGTTTAAAGGCATTTGTTTAAGTGTTGAGTGTTCACTAAAATAGACTCAACAATATTAGACAAAATCACCATCCAAAATTACAATAACTTTTTTTTGTATTTTTAACTAAATCTATCACTAAGATTCATTTTGTTTATTATGAAAGAAACTAGACTAGGCAATATCAGACAAAAAATGCATCTAAAAAGTTAAATATCTAAAAAGATTAGAAAAAAATCAACACGACAAATTTCAAAATTCTAAAATTGTTTCAATCAAACCAAAAGAAAGGAAGATATTACAAATTAATGAATTTTTATCTACTTGAAATGAAAAGACAATTAATATACCATTGAAAATCACTATACATACTCAAGACCCAAGAAAAAAAAAAAAGTTTAACATCCCATCACAATGCAATTATATACACAAACTTCCTTGATTGTTTGCTGGTAAGTAGGTTCTACAATAGTATACCTTCCCCAACTAGCATAACACCCTACTTTACTAAGCACACCTTTAATACAATAATTATGCATCAGTTATGATAATTGTCACGGCCCAAAATTAAATATGGTCAATAGGGGATGCTCATAGAAACTTGTTTGCCTTAACCCTTAATTTAAGAAATTTGTAAATTTAAACCATTAATGTATTTGATATAAGATTAGATCTTACTAATATATATATATATATATATATAAAAATCAAATGAATGTTTTAAAACTTTTATAGAAATTTTGACAGAATTTCTTTAGTAAATAAGACCTCCTACAACTTTTCAATAGAATTCAACACAACAACCACAAGGAGCTGTACTATTATCAGTCAACAAACAAATAATAGTTAATCAAAATAAGGATTCTAACTATAGTCTATGCGGAGCACCTAGTTATATTTTTAAAATGAAATACATAAACTTTATAATTACATACAAAGGAGATAATAGTTTCCAAAGGAATCTCCATCCAGCACAACCATAGGACCCTTAGAGGTTAACAGGAGGTACAATGTCAATTAATAGATCTAAGACCAACAACAACTTTTTAGTGAATAACGTTCCAATTTATAGACGTAGAACTTAATGGAAAGAGCTTTAATGCACAATTATAAACTAAATAGAATAATCAATTGAAATAATATAATACATATTTCATAGATCAATGGTCATGTAAATATATAAATCATGAATTTATAAATTAAAAAAATGATTAGAAATTCAAATTCCACTTTTAAAATTAAACATATGCTTTAAATGCTGGAAAATTATGGAGCTAATTATAAAAATCTATATAAAGTAGAAAGGACTGTTTACTTTATAAAAAAAATAAAATTATAAGAACAATAAATTTCAAAACTCATTCATTTGTAGGACTTTATTAGAACGATTAGCAAATATGGACACAAAGTCTAAGAGAATAAATAATTAACGAGCATACACACATAATCTACAAGGATAAGTAACTGATAAGCACGGCTTGAAACCATGAAAACAAGCGTGAGCACAAAGCCCATGAAATCAAGCACAGCCATAAAGCCCACAAAAGCAAGCGTGAGTACAATACTCATGAATAATCATCCTTTCATTTCATATGTGTTGGTCATTGCACGAGGCTAGCACCTCCTAAGCACTCTGCTAGCTAGGTGTATCATAACGCGCGAAGGTTCAACGGAATTGTAGTTAGCAACCAGCGTTCTGATTCAATCTCATAATTAAAATAAAACATGTACAAGTTTATAAAATCAACATGATTTCTCTTACATATAGATCAACATAGCAATTGCCTTCAGATATTCATTTGAAGAAAATAAATTTAGATATTACTATAAAATTCATTTATGTAAAAAACATTTCCAAATTCATTTTTCAATAATAAAATAAAAACATAAACAATTAAGTAAGATTAAATTGAAAAAAATTATCATTTATTTTTAAGGAATCAAAAGGTTTATATAAATAGAGGATGTAGCAAATAAACATGCTCAAGCAATATTTTCAACAAAATAAGTTTGATAATAAACCATTGAGACACTATTCATTTGCCTGTCAAGTTACCAAGTCTCAAAGATTTATTCCATTGGACTCATATCTAGTCTCTCTTCTCCCAAACATCCTATAAAATATAGGAGGATTTTTAATAAATTTTCTACTAGTTGAATAAACCCCCTTTCAATCTTAACACAACCGTAATGAAGCTAAATAATTCAAAAGTTTCCCTTAATCATCATTTATATCATACATAAAGTTTCTTCATAATATCTTAGCCAAAGCTAACTAGGTTTTTGCTGGAACTCGGAGGGATTTTTTTATTTTGGAAGATAAACCTTAACACAAGATTGAAGTTTATATAATACATGCATACCAACTAGTGAATTAAGCCATTGTCGTCTTCTTTTTTTTTTTTTAATTATTTATTATTTAGCAATGCTTGATGTACGCCAATGATCTTAACATAATACTCCCTCTCATCACCAATGACCCGTTACGGAGTTACGGATTGAAGTAGAGTATGGTAAGCATCATTATGTTGATCCCAAAAAAAGACTTTAGAAAAAGAAAGTAAAAGAGACTCTATCCTCAAAACAATATCAACAGTTATCAACAATCACTCATGTTGCAAAGCACAAAGTCAACTAGAACCAGAAAAATTAGATTATATATATATATATATATATAAAACTGTAAGGCAACAATTATTTGCTCAGCATTTGGTTCAAAGCTTAATCAAAAGGCAAGCTTACGTCGGAAGAACTAGAGGACAATAAGTATCATCTTTAATTTGCACAAAAATCACAATACGACATGGTGAATTCAACTGAACAGCAGACTTGGAACATATATATATATATATATATTACATTCAAGACAGCACTAAAGATAAATTTTCGACACCAACACAATTAGGGCTGCACAAAAGCTAGGACGGCACTGGACTTCATCCTAACCCAAAGTCTGGTCTCTTTCATTAAAAGAATTGGGTTAGGCAACTCATAGTTTAGTCTTGTCCAATGATAATCTGAAAATTAACAAGATCGGACTTGGTCTATAAGACTAAGAGACTGGTCCTGTCAATCCAGTACTCACTTAGCTTTTTTTTTTTTTTTATTCTATGAGAGGCAATAATCCATTTCAATATAATAAAATCAACTAAGATAATAAAAACACTTATAATAATACTAAATCCATAATAATTTCCAAAAATAAGAAAAAATATATTTCTGTTACAATTCGAATAATTTAAATTTATAATTTTAATAAAAACAGCACATAATAAAATTCAACAACACTACTTTATAACAACAATTTAGAAATAAACTCAATAAATCTCCATACAATCATCTCTTTAGCATCAATTACACTTCAAACATTTATCAAAAATAAATTAATTATAATTATAATTATAAATAAAAAAATTAATAGGACTGGATTGGACCAAGTGGTCTGAATGTTTAATCTCTTATCCAGTCTAATTCAAAGAAATAGTCTGATCATTTTAATTGAAGGACTAGCGTCTATATAAATTGAACAAGACTGAGACTATCTCGAGTTAGACTGAACCAGAACTGAAAAATTTTTTCACAGCCCTAAACACAATCAATCCTAAGATCAAAATCCATCATCTTCATCTTGCTCTTAGACTAAAATTTCAACTTAACTCAAATCTCCCCTCTCTTCTCACTCAAACAATCACAGATACAGCCAAGCAGTTATTCAAACAACAAAAATCACACAGCATACGTAAAGGAGAGAGGATGAGCCTAGATATCACCAAGGAGAATGGTTAAACCCCACGCTCATAACAGTATCAACGCAAAACAGAGAAGAAGATGCACGTTTGACAGCATAAAGCTAAGGGAGAGGAGGAAGAGCTTACAATTAACTTCCTCTAATAGCAACTAATCCACAAAATACTTATCAAAAGCATGCTTGTTAATATTAATTTAAGCTTGTTTAAATTTCAATTTCCCCTTCCCAATCAAACACGTACAGCAGCACAGCGGGGGTAAAATTTTTCATCTTCAGTTATTAGATCATACACCCACATGTACAGAAGCTATAAGAAGAGTTCAATGTTTCTCACCTTAATTCAGCAACAAGAGAGAAAAGAAAGGAGCCATCGGAACAGACGGAACAGGGGATAAGCTCTTCACTCAAACCACCAACAGCAGCGAACCACCCCCTACACCCATCGGCGACGCACACCTGGAACAGAGGGGAAGGAAATTCTGATACACCCACGCAACACGGACACCACAGCGACGGACGAGGACGCAGATGAATGGAGAAAAAGATCTGAACACACACAGAGCACACGGACTGAAGGACCACAGTCGATGCCGGCGCTTACAATCAGAGAAGGGGGGAGCTTGAACGGCGGAACCCACGGCAGCAACTAGATGAAGCGGAGGATTGAGATTGCCGGCCAGAGGGATTGAAGCTTCTGGAACAAATATCTCTACCTCCCGAAACCAAAAAGTTGAACCCCAAGCAAAGTTCCACAAAGCCACTTCATGCTTTTTGTCATATCTTTCTCAAAATTAATAAAAATATATGTAGATGCCTCATATAAATTTAAATTTAATTTTATTAATTTAGCTATTTATTATTATTATTATTATTATTATTATTATTATTTTACATAAAATTTTATGTCATTACAATAATAATAAATTTCTGACAAAATATCCCTTAATTTTTTAAAAAAGAGGGCAGAGTTTATCCAAAACTTGACATACGCTTAAATAATTAATCTTGTAAAAAATCATATTATAGCTACCAAACAACTAGGTCAGCCACATAATCAATTCAAATATCAAAATCAAATCTCACAAAAACTTTAAAGCCGTCCCAATCTACTTAAGGGAAAATTGGATTAAATAGCAAATGTTTATATCCAAACATAAAACAAAGAACCACTAGTTCGAGTTTTATAGCCCAACAATCCATAGAAACATTCATAAAACAAGCATTACCAAACGACAAAGTCATCAAGTTATACACTTGGCATGATTCAGCAATGTCAAACGGCTTAAAATAGAGTTAGGTTTTAAATTGACAATATCGAAAATGGAGATATACTTCTCCAACTCCTTTCCCCTACTTGAACCCACTTCTTCACCTGAACTTGTTAAAATAAGGGGGTGAGATAATAATAATCTCAGTTACAAAGGCTTTCATAATATATTCAACCTTTTATCATTAGTCTTTCTAATAATACTATGTCACAATATGAACAAATTTAAGTAAGCATGCATAAAGGAATCACCCTTAGGTTAACACAATTATGGATTCCCTTATGTAATATTGACACTCAGCATGATCACAACCCATAACCACCATTCACAGTACGATCATGGCTACTATCTTCAAGTGGTGCGTTCACAACCCATCATGCATGATCAAGCTAATAAATCATTAAGACATGGTCACAACCTTAATTGGTGATTAGAGGACAAATGTTGCAATACCGCTACACTTGGCCAAGTGTAGGTGGGTGAAGTACATTACATATCATGTGATATATAAAAGGATATGCTTACTCTCCCATTACATTTAACATGCATTAATGTACGGATAGTGCCATTTCTTGCCAGTCATCCCACGCTATATGATTAATGTGTGTGTGTGTGTGTGTGTGTGTGTGTGTGTGTGTGTGTGTTTGTTTGTTTGTTTGTGTATATACATTCTCATCACATTGCATAAATAACAAAACCCCATTTCTTCTCCAATTTAGAGCAATTCAAAACATGCATGTGAATGAAATCCCCCTAGTGACCTCAACTTCTAGCCAAACAAGCCAAGCCCAATACCATAAATGAGTTTGGATCCACAATCTAATTCAATAAATAAACAAAGTAATGAGGCTCAATTATTATTCAAGGTGTCCAAGAACAGTTAATATATGTCACAGATCTCTAAAAAACCCAAGACAAGTCTCAGCAAAGCAATAATTTTGAGTAAATTTATAGTATTCATAAACAATTTCAATCGTTATGAAAATTCATACACTACTCAACTATCAACCAAAGAGGCAAGTGATAAAAAAAAATCCAAGCAAACAAGGTCAGTGTTGCTCAAACCAAAAACACACATAAAATTTGCTCAAAATTCGTCCATAATTCAAAAATAACCAAAGCTCCCAATCCAATCGCATATTCTTGTTCCAAGAGGTATTTAGGGTTATCTATAGCAATAACATGAAGTTCCCAATGTAGAATCAGCCTTTAGAAGTCATATTTCAACATTTTCATTAGGTTTAAAGCTAAATTTTGAATTTCCAATAATCCTAATAATTAAATCTTTCTAAACATCATAAACAACCTCTATTCTACTTCCTAAATACCATTCAAACATCGTATAATTCAAATAAATCAGATTCAAACTAGCCCTTCATCTAACTCACACTACTACAAACAAGCATTTCTACTACCTTAATTTACGTCCTATTTTAAAAGTTAGACTTAGAAAGAACACAATTCACATCACCCAAGTAAAAAGAGGACGTAGATTAAAAAAAATTTATTTTAACAAAACAATTTTAATAAGCCACGTCTCCTTAATTCTTAAGGGGACGTGGTTTTATAAGAGTACTTCATAATCCACGTCCCTCCTTTAGGATAGAGACGTGGCTTGTGAAGAAGCCATGTCCCCCTTAAAGAGGGAGATGTGGCTTCTAACAGAGCCAGCTGGCTACTGCAGAAGCCATGTCCCCTTCTCCAAGGGGACGTGGCTTGTGAAGAAGCCATGTCCCCCTTGAAGAGGGGGACGTGGATTCTAACAGTGCCAGCTGGCTTCTGCAGAAGCCACCTCCCCTTCTCCAGGGGAAGTGGTTTCTACAGAAGCCATGTCCCCCTCTTCAAGGGGGACGTAGCTTTATGTAGAAGCCACATCCCCCAGAGAGGAGAGGGATATAGATTCTCAAATCCACGTCCCTCTCCTCTTTGGGGGACGTGTATTCTCCTTCCCACTCAATTTTTAAGCCTTGCACTAGTCAATTTTTTCAAAAGAACACTCAAAGTCTGCTGTGCTTGCCTTCATCTCCAATCAGAGTATCATCTTTCTGCTTCTAAGTCTCAACCAAGCTTCTTCATCTGGTCTTTCTACTGCTCAGCCAAGCTTCTCGGTCTCATTTTTCTGCCGGCTCTGTGATCGTCTCTCTCAGCTTCTCATTTGCTCTCGGTCTCATCTTACTGATTGCCTCTCGGTGCTTCTCAGCTTCTCGACCAGCAGGAATAGTTGCTTTGCTTCTCGGTGCTTCTCATTTCTCACCAAAATTTTGGTTGTTTGTAGGACAATCAGATTTTTCAGATTTCCTTTGTTTGCTTTTAAATCGTGAGTATCAATAGAATTTCATCCCTATACAGATATTATTATTCAAGCTTAACTTGGACATCTTTATGCCTGCATTCATGTGTGTGTGTGTGTGTATTTTGGTTTCATTTTCTACCATAAGCTAGAAAATGGTCTCCCTCCGTTGTTGGGGTTTATCAGCACGGCTATATATGCTTAAAGAAATAATCCATAACATGAGTATTTTGGATGATCAAGTGAAGGTGACGGTTGAGGTTGTTCTTGAGCCAAATGTGAATGTGTCATTCCCTACTAATGAGGTTGAAAAATTAGGTGAAGCATTGAGATAATTCATTTTATGGCATAAAAGACTTGTTGACATAGAGATGACAATTCCAGTGGTAGAAAAACTCTTCATTATTCTTTGATTCTCTCTTTTAATTTTACTTATATAACTTTTATTCATTTCATATTTTATTAGGATTTTGATGAGGGTGAGGATTGTTTTGCTCTATTACAATTACATGAATTTTTTAAGGCAATGACAAAGCCTATCAATTTGACAATGCCTAAAGGGATTGTGGGTATAGACAAGTCATATCCTTTTGCAATAGACAAGAAAGACATCTTGGAATTCTTGTTGCTGAGGGAGTTGGATATTTCATGGGCCATGCTATCTATCTTGTAACTTTATTACCTCTATTCTATCTCATTTATATTTATTTTAATTTATATGCAATAATTTTTGTGTCATTCTATTAATAAGTTTCTTAGTAGTCTTTGTACTGGACCACGGAAAGATCAATTTGGATTTTTTTGTCTAGCTTCTTTGACATCAGCCCATAATGATATCAGTGATAGGATGAGATACGTGGGCAATACTATTTCAGAAACAAAATTGCCCTGTTATCTGGCTCCAATTCTTGAGGGGTAAGTTCTTCTATATTCATTTATATATATATATATATATATTTATTTTGATAATCTTTTTTATGCTTTCATGTATTGATTTCTTTTGTATCTTTGTAGTTACCATTGGTCCCTTTGTGTTATATGCTTGTATTTGCATGAGATCTATTGGTTTTGTTCCATGGGCAAGCAACCGAGTGCTGAAACTAAAAATATATTCAACACGTAAGTTAAGATTATTTTTATAAATGTTAGATATTTATTTTGTTTTAATACTTTATACTTTATTTAAATATCATGATAGAGCATTGAAGATATATTATATGACCGGGGAAAAGCGACGTCCAGCAAAAAATACATCTCAAAAAAATCCCTCACTGACTTGTATTTTTCCAAACGTAAGTAATTTTAATTCAATACTTTTTATTCACAACTTTTTTTATATATTTTTGTTTATACTTATTATTTGATTCTTAACTTTCAGTGCTATCGCCAGATAGGGAGTACAGAGTGTGGATATTATATTATTCATTATATGTATGAGATTATTAAATCCGAAACTAACGAAAATTTACACATGGTAAGTTACATTATTATTTATTTTAATAATATTAGTTTTGCAAGGCTTTAGAATTTAGATATCTAATGAACATTCGATAAAAATTTACAGCTTTTTAACAGTGGGTACCCCTATACCAGTGAAGATATAACTAACATTTGAAACAATTTAGTAGGTTATCTTCTTCAAGAGCTATTTACATAGTGCGATTTTATAGTTTATCCATATAGTTAGATAGAAGGATATAAACCTTAATGTGTTCAAGTAGTTTGTTGGAATTTGGCTGTAAATATTGACACTTGAATGGGTGACAATAATTTTGTCGTTCCAATGTACTTGGTATATTTTGTTGTGATAGTTTATGAATGGTTGTAAATGAGTTGCTATTTACTGAACTTTTGTTGTATGAATTTGGCTATTTCTGTGGCATACTTTCACAGATTCTATTTTGGTTGTCAAGCAAATACAAATTGTATATAAAAAAAAATTACAAAAACCACGTCACATTATTAAAAGGAGGGACGTAGCAAGATGTGTGCTCAGAACAAATCACGTCCGCTATTATAGAGGGGGACATGGTTTCTCAAAGAAACCACTTCCCCCTCATGAACGAGGGACGTGGTTTCTACTATAAACCATGTCCCTCTTACTTGGGGGGGGGATGTGGTTTCTCTGACAACATGAGTAGCCACGTCCCTCTTATTTGGAGGGACGTGGTTTATATGGAAATCACGTCCCTTTCTAGTAAAATGGGGACGTG